CATAATAGATGCTTGTACCAAAGTGTAATCGTAGGTCATAATAGTAAATAGTAAACAATCATGTTTAATTAATTTTTTTTATAAAGACCTAATTCATTAAACTTTCCTATGTCTTCATACTTTCTAAGTACTACACTCACACGACCATAAGTTCCGATCTGTCCTTGAATATGTTGTGTATGTTGAGTAATCTATAGTGTGAAAGAGTTCAGGTTTTTCCTCAAGTCTTTCAAGAAACTGAAGTTTGTTCACTTTATTGCCCAATGAAGTTTACCTCAGATGCTAATAAAAATAATGTATGAGTAGAAAAATTTAATTTTCAAATTTCCTACTCATTGGATTATTATAAATATATTTTATTTTTATTAATAAAAATCTATATAATGCTCAATTTATTTGAAATTATCATTTCAAACCTTGATAATGATACCTATAATCTCATTAATAATTGGATTAAATTGAACGTCAGATGCTTTTTCAATCTTAATATGACTTAAATAAGTATCGTTATCCTAAAAATAACATTTCCCTTTAAGAAAAACTTAAGATTAATCTGTAAAAATTATATACTTTCATTGGATTTTGAGTGAATTAGCCGTGAATTCTTACTGTTTCATATACCCTAGTTAACTAAATTATTAATGATAAATACAATAATTTAGGTGTATCTGCCACATTTACTGCAAGTCTCTCGTCCAGTTTTGTTGGAAGGATGTTTAAATGCACACAATGAATAAATACAATTATATAATCATACGATCGCAAAAGGTTCTGTTTTTTATCATGACTTATTTGAATATATGCTTTCTACAAACTTTTGTTAGGATCAACTCCTTTTTTTATGTATTTTTCTCACAGTAACACGCAACAGAAGCTCTTATAAGTGCCACTTTTCCTACAAATATTCATGCCACTTCTTGTGACTTCTTATCAAACAGGATTTGTCATTATTTTCATAAGTGGCCGCTGAGGATCTCATCACTAGAGTGTTATTAAAATACGTTTAGGAAATAAGTTGTTTTTGTCCTATTTTCAGTTATTTCTCACCTTTCGGTAGTAAGCAAATTTTATTTAAAGAGAGAATTTCTTCCTTAAGAAAATTAATGTTAAACTTTCAAGTATAACTCGAAAGAACTGTGCACAAGACAGGAAATTTATTTTAAAAGACTACTGAAAACAGGGTGAAAAATCGGGTGATACATAAATATTTATGAAGAAAACTGGATTAAAATGGTTGTCAAAAGCAGATTAACAGTTGTGTATGCAGTCAATTACTACATGATGACTGTTTTAAAGTAAGATGAGGCTTGAATTTTATATGTACAGAACTTATCCTGAACAATTAAAATAAAGTATTTTTTCAAATTCAGGTTGTCTAATGGTATTGAAATGTTTTACCATATTTTGTTTAAGTGAAACCATTTATTCAATGAATGTGCTTGATTTTCAATGAGCATAAGCTACATTTCTTTGTACGCTAGTTTTGTTATTAAAACCGCTAAAATTTATTAAACACGTTAAGTGAAGTAAGTTCCATTTGTTTTCCAAGAAGATATTGGTAACAAGAAAAATGTGAATCCATGATAATTTGGCACAAAAATATCAAATTATATACGATGGTATCGAGCATGAACTTGTGATAAATGAACATGTTGTGTTTAGATAACTTGAAAAACAGACTATGAGTAGCTGCTATTGTTAAAAAAATAGTCTACTGATTCTGCAGTTATTCTTACATTTCACCCATTAGTTGAAAAATATTAATCGACAAATTGTCCGTCACGCCTCTTCTTATTACATAGATCTTATTATTCTTATGTTGTAATCTTGTTGTTGTCTGACCTATGTGATAAAGGAATAACTTGTTTAAAATACAGCTTTCCCATACTTTTAGATGAGTTTACGCACATACGGTTTCGAACGTAAATTGAATAATTTACAAGTTTTAGCAATAATTTCTCAAGCATTCATGCATTTATTGCTTTGACCTTGTTTACATCATTATCGCTCACTGATGTGAACTGTAAGTTTTTCCTATGAATATGATGAGAGATAATACAATTTCAGGGGTTCCAATTCTAAAAGTTGAATTTATGAGTCGATGTAAGCTAGACCACCACTTATAACCTGGAAGAACTGGATGGCCGTTTCGTCCTAATATGAAACTCCCCAGCTGTGCGCATCCACGACCTCGTATATGGGACTCGAACCCAGGACTTTCAGTCTCGCACACGAACGCCTAAGCTCTAGACCATTGGGCCGGTATCAACCGGTGTTAATGTCTAACTACAATCAACCCACGATCTTGCGCAGTCATTCATCCATTATCCAAGTTAGATACCTGTCTCTACCCGATACGGATTGAACTCCACTGGTTACGGCTTCTCACCGGAACTCTAGCTTACATCGACTCATGAACCCAACTATCAAAATTACTACAATCTCCACAAACCCCCATTGTGATTCCACCTATTATTTTAAAAGTTCATGTTATATATTTGGACAACTTAGATAAAAAGGGTTATTATTTAAAATATTTTTTATTTATATGAACTGGTTCATGATTCCTTAAGTTTTGTAGTGATGTAAGCTGATTAGAACAAGGTGGTACAGGCAATACTAAAAGTGACCTCTTTTTATCATGATGCATTAAATAGTTGTGATTATGACTGTGATTAGGAAGATGGAGTAAAGTCCAATAAATATATTTCTCAACTATTTGGTTACACTTTGATACATTTAAATCACGGTTTGGAATATTATTTTTTCTAACAGATCTTATATGAACTAGTCATCTTCAAGAAATCATTGTTTTATGTATCATTTTACAAATTTCTAATTAAGTAGCCTAAGAATAACTTAGATATCAAACATTCTTTGTTAATCGCTTATTAGTAGATTAGGAATCTTTATTTGATCATACACTCCAAGTATAAGAGTACTTTATGAATAACCAGTGATTCATTTTCGTTCAGTGTCTGAATAATAATTTAAAATGTTTTATTTATTGGCTTACATAGAAGGGATGTTATGAAATTTACCAAAACTGATATAATCAATGACTTTTATTATCCTTGCAAAAAATAAAAAAAACAATCTCAAAAACATAAGGGAGATAGCTCATACTAAAGATCCAACTAATTCAGTTTTTAAATTTAATATACTTTATTTTATTAAAATGATATCTAAGATCACTTAATATTCATCATTTTACCATACGGTTGAATCGATTAGCGTGAAAACAGTACATTTTACTTTCCTTATTATTAGATAAAATCAGAGTTTGGCAAAATTGTTTTGAAATCAGAAAATGAAGTGGATTTATCAGATGAAGTGAAAGGATTCATTAAAGATGTCGAGAAGTATGACTTCATTAGACTCAGTCTTCCTGATATAAATGGAATCCATCTGAGTAAGTTGCTTCCTACCCGCTTTGCTAAGAAGTTGGCAATGGGCCAGGTGGAAATGTATTCAGGGTCTATAGCATTCGGACCAAGATTTGAAGTAAGTGAAGATGAATCACGATTTTTCTTAAAAACACATGCATCTTATGTATATACAATTTAAGCTCTTGGCTGCTTAATCCTTATTTGATGGGAAAAATTTTAAAAAATGTTGATGTTTCTAAATATTTCGCTTAGGTTAAAACGTCTATGGTAGAATACTCACTTGAAAACTCAATATACTTCAGATCCATATTCTTTACAGTCAAAAGTTTGTATTCAAAAAAAATAACCACTTACTGAACAATTTGGTTATTATATGGCTATATTTAGAATATATTGTCACTTGTAAAACCAGTTTCTGAACGGCCGTGATTATGACTTTCCTGAAAATAGAGCCTCAGGTGGCAATATTGTTTCCGTTTTTCATAAGAACTTCCTTGAAATACAGTAGAAATTAAGAATATAAACATAATTTTCCTTATCCTAAAGGATAACACTGTTATTGGCTTAAATGAAGGGGCAGGCAAATAGAATCCAAGGATACATTCAATCGGTTATGATCAGAAAGTTTAGTGAGAAAATATTTTGTTTCGTTTTAAACAAATTGTTATGCGATTTAACCAAGCAGTTTTATCTCGTTCATAATAGCAGTTATATCCCATCTGTTTAGTTCTGTACAGTATCATAGTCATCGATTCTTATTATTCCAGTTTTTTATTTGGATAAGTGTGATGAGTTGTGACTGACAGATCACAACAGACTACTGAATAGGGATTTACTATGTGTATCATTCATACAAAAGATATACTTCATTAATCAAAGTAATAATGATGGTAAGGCCTAGTGGTGCTTCAGGACAGTAAACAAAGTCAACCAAAACTTTTAATTTTCAACAAATTATCAGTCAGCTTTTGCGAACACTTACGGTTTCAAAGGAAACTACACAAGCAATTAAGCTAATTAAATGTAATATCGTTATCAAATTCTATCTGCACCGATTGAAATTCTACTTAATCATGCTAGAATTCCTCTCAACTGATCTATTTGTCGACAATTTATAACTTTGTTACATCCTATTTACTAACTGAAGTAATTTCATCATGAACCAAGCATTTTCAAAATTTGAAAACAACACATTGAATACATCATTTGCACATTTTCCTTGGATTGTTTTTCACAAATTCCATCGTTCTTTTATCCCTATTGCCACTCCGACTAATTTTTTTGTTATTTTTCTCTTCTGTCAGTGAGAATCATACTTTCAATCCTTGATACATTCTACTTATAACTGTCCGTGTAAGTAACAAACACCACACTTCTATGAAATTGAAATGATGGTTTAAGCAGCATTTTAGAGATATGTGATCCACGGTTATGAATTAATTCTCAATACACAGTAGATTTTTAGAAGTTCGTATTTTCTTGTTTCAGTTTTATAATTTACTTCATCTGCAAATTTTATAATTCATTATTTCAATAAAAGTGTACTTCATTTTGTTTTCTATTTGCGAAAAATTATCAGTCACAATAAATTTGAGCTGTCTTCACATTTAGATGATCAGCATCCCAGATGTGGTTGAAAGGAAACATATTAACAGTGTTTTGAAGCCAGATTTCTCGACTCTGCATCCGTGTCATTGGATTTCACAAAAGAATTATCCTTACACACAAAAGGACAATAACATGTTTTTGAACGGAGAAGATGGTAAATATTCATTTTGTTCCGTTTTGTGCGATATATACTGGCCGAATAACCAGCCAATGTATGCCTATCCAAGATTTGTTGCTCAGAGGCTTATCAAAGAGCTGGAGGATAAATATAATCTACGGTTATATTCAGCTTTTGAACCGGAGTTTAGGGCTTTTGTAAAGGGAAGCTATGAGTCATCGTGTTTAGAACCAAAGTCGAACGACGTTACCCAATTTATTGACCTTAAAAAGCCAATCCCTTGGACAAATTTTAGAGACATGTACAGAACAAGTTTACTGTCCGTTTATGAAAACTATTTTGCGGATATTGATTACAATATGCAGCTAGCAGGGATCGATATACAAGATTACAGTAATGAAGATGGCGAAGGACAGTTAGAATGTCCGTTAATACCAACATGGGGGTTGTCGGCTGCAGATAATTATTTTATATTGAAACAGGCTGTAAAAGAAATTGGAACTAAACATGGGATGGAAATTTCGTTTATGACTACACCATTACTGGATTCCAGCTCTAGTGGGTGTCATTACAACCATTCACTGTGGTACTCTGATAATAATCGTAATGCATTTTACGATGATAAAGGTACGTCTCGATCGATTCATTTTGCAAATATTTCATTTTACTCAAAATCTCCACTAAATATTTATCTGGTATAACGAATATCTTTCTCGAAATATCCTTCTTTCAGATGACGACAGATTTCTGGAATATATAGAGGATTTTGATCAAAACAGGTGTAGTTAATTTGACAAACAAAACTGTTTGTCAACATATGTCGTGCTTTTAACTACTCAAACTTATCATTATGCAATGTGCAACGATATCTCATCCGAACGGAGTTTTTCTTCTACTTATCTTGTAGTTTGAAAAATTCTTTTGTGTTAACTTTGATACTTAAATATTTATTATCTACTTTAGAACAGATTATTATACCGTTTCACTATACATCTGAGAAATATATTTCACCCTAAAATAGTAGGATAACAAAACCAGATAGCACATGAAAAATGCATGCACTGGGACGAATTTATCAACTTTCTCTCTCTCCATATATATATAAAATGTTTTAATGTTATTTAAATTTTTATGCTTATAATATGAACTGAACATGAATAATGTAATTTAAACTAAAGTTCACATTTTTTGCCACGTCAGATCCTGATCGATTATCTACTCTAGCTCGTCACTGGATTGGAGGCATCTTGGAACATTTACCAGCTATGTTAGCTATTTCTTGTCCAACAGTAAACTGCTATAGAAGACTGCATAAAAATCTTGCTCCCTCCTGCGTGAATTGGGATTTTCATGATAGGTATGTATCAATTCGTGTAAAAAACTTTAATGAGAAACAGACATACATAGAAAATCGTATACCATCGTCCGCATCTTGTTCTTACCATGTGCTTGCTGCCACAATAGCAGCTGGACTAGATGGCTTGGAACGTCAGATACACCCTCCACCTTCAGGTTTGAAACTAGCAAATGGTCAGATTGGTGTCTGTAAAGTACTTCCCAATACAATTCAACAGGCTCTACATAGTCTTATGGATGACAAAATACTTGTGAACAAGTTGGGAGCAGATTTTGTTGATTGGTATATTCAAGTAAAAAAGAATGGAGATTTGTCATCACTTGGTCATTTAAATATTCATGATAATACTGAAGAAACACTGGCTTATGAAAGATATGAATATTTCAACTTTATGTGACTCACTTCACAGAACCAGTTTATTCTATCAGTTTATTCCAACAATGATGATTTTTTCAGTAGCTATTGCATGTAAAGCTACTTACTTTTAAATTTTTATTCTCTCACTTTTTATAAGTCCCATTCTATTACTGCTATTTCACTTAGTCATTCCTACATTACTCTTAAGATGGGGTTGACTACTTTTACATTTCATTCCACTATAATCCACTATTTTTTAAAAAGGATATTATTAATGTGATAAGCAGTTTAATAATAATGAATTAAAAATGAGACTAGTTTGATGTTTGTTTTATTAACATAATGCATTTCAAGGATATAATGAATCTCCTAGTTAGGCTGTATAGAACTTTGCCTGAACAAAGAAAAACAGATAATGTGTTTATCCATTACATCCAGCAAAGTTGAATGATGTTACTCATATTTTTTAATTAGTGTCTTTATGTTGTCGTTTAATGTTGAGTATGAGCTGGCAAAATTTGGTGTTAACACGACTGTAATTATATAATGTAAGTTCGTAGAATTTCGATTACTAAAAGTTTAATCATCTTACAGCTAGATTCATTTTGCTTTCTTCAAGGGGTTAATTTAATCGAACCGGAAAAAAGTCTAAAACAACTTCTGCATAGTTTTTAAGCAATAACATATAAGTTTAGGTTTATACTGAAAAATTACACAAGGATTTTGATTACATTGAAATAGTTTCACAGATCTCACTAGACATCACACTTGAAATATAGGGTTGAAACGTGAACAGTGTTGCACAAAGAGTTATTTGAGGATGGGTCCATTAGTCTGTCATTGGATGAAGAGGTCAGTTTTCATAAATAGTTCTTTATCTTCAAATACAATGAGTTCACTATTTATTTGAATGTATTTATAATACATAAATACTGGTACATATAGGTCCCAAAATAAATATATGTCACACAAATGAGGAAATGAAAGTGTGGAATGAGTAGGGAGTATGATCGAAAATTGACGAACCAAGAGAAATAAGTGAACGAGAGTAACATAAAACAGGAGGTAAATTTCAACTAAGAGCATAAATAGGAAGAATTCCTTCATTTTGGTGATTTCATTAGGTTTTTATGAAGAATAAAAAATAAAAATACAGTAGGATTATCATTGGCTTCTATACTGAGTTAATATCTAATAACATGTCAAACCAGTGAGAGTTGCATTATACCACAGAACTCAACCGGGAAGTCACTTTGGACGTACAGGTGACCGTCCTATACATCTGTTTTTCTTACCACCTAACCACGTCAAATACCGTTCATCGCTACAATTTGTTGTGTGCATCAGTCGTCGCTGTCTATAGAATCAGAACAAACTAGTCGATGTTACCGTAGCAGCAGACCAACTGGACTGTTCCTTGATAGGTTATGTTCAGATTACCTTTCATCAGTTGCCAAATGCAGCTTCTGTTTCCAAATCATTAGAACTCTCCGAGGAACACGTCTCTCAGTTTTTATGCAAAATTTCTAAAGTTTATGTACCTAATAATTTATGCTTCATGCAACTTATTCCCTTGACGAATATAAATTTAGCCAAAACAACGACTGAGGCAGTACTTTTGACTTTATTCAAACCTACTTTTATTACAAAAAGTTGTGGTTTACCGACGTTCCTCAATGAGTTATAAGGTACCTGGGGAGACCTACTATTTATGAATAGAACGTTTCGAAAACAAACAACAGACATGACTCATTATTTCCATAGAGGCATACAAACTCACTAAATGGTTATCTACTCTTTCCATTGGACAAACTGATAGTCTTAAACCCAACATGGCTTGATGATTACTACGACTTTAGGCCCGAATAATTATCACGTGATTTATACGTCGGGTGAGTATACTGTGATACTAATGGATGCTTGGGCGTCCTGATGTACAAGCATGGTTGCTTTTGCGATAAGTTCCTTAATTGCGGAGAATACTTTTCAAGCATTATCGTCCAAATTGATGGATTTCAAATATCCACGAAGTTGGTCGGTTAACGGTTTCACAAGGGAAACGAAGTTTGGTATGAACCGTCTATAGAAATTTACAATGCCGTTAAACGCGAGTAATTGCCTAATTGTGGTCGGTTCTGGGTAATCCAGAATAGCGGCCACTTTGCTTCACAGAGGTCGGATGCCTTGAGCAACAATAGTATGTCCGAGGAAATCTAAGGAGTCAGATCCGATTTGGCATTTCTGAATGTTTACAGTAATACCGTGCTTTTGTAGTCGTTCAAAAACAAGGTTTACATGCTGGAAATCAGATTCTCTGTCCCGAATCTCAATCAAGCAGTCATCAGCATACGCATGTACGAAGTTGAGACTTCGGGAAACGTCATCCATGAATCTTTGGAAGATCTGAGCAGCATTTCTTAGGCCAAAAGGCTTGCGCGAAATTTCGTAGACACTGAAAGGAGTAATGGTAGTGGTTTTAAGAATGTCGTCAAGTGCCCATGGGGATTCGGTTATAGGCTTTAACCAAGTCGATTTTCGAAAAGACGATTGTACCTTTTGAGGTAGCTGTCAAGTCGTGATTGTGGGGCAACGGTTAAGAGTGAATAAGTCGTATTTCGATTGACGAATAAATTACGTGATAACTAGTCGGACATTAGCCGACCTCAGCATTTTGAGGGCTAGTCGGAAGCTTTCGAGAATGCAGGAGGTCGTGTAGTCGTGATGTGACGTGTAACATTGGTGGTTACACACAGCAATTTCGGTTGCGTTTGCTATATCCTAGAGTACTTACCAAGTAATTGCTGATAGAATGGATCAGTCGTGTGCTAAATATGACTGGAGATAATCTGCAATCGGAAAAAGAAATTACAAAAACGGGTGAATTTATCCGCAACGCAGCCATGTAAACTTAATGTATCGCCCAGTGTAATAACGGTCATCTGTGCGTTCAAGTAACCACAAATTTTGCAATTTCATGATGTATTTTTAATTAATTAACTAGATTATGTTGTTAATTTTGCTCATTTTTTAATTTTTATTCGCTACGTCTTACTGCGTTACACTGTACGTTCATTGCACGCTGGGATGATATCCCAAGTCAAAGTGAGTTTAATCACATAGTTGATTGTTTCCTGATAGACCATGAGTGCATAATGTTACTGAAGAAAGGTTTGTTGTACTGTGAACTATGTTTTTATGAACAAGTGACTGGTATCTTCAGCCAGAAGGCAATTGATATATCGTTTATCTTCTGTTAGGTAAGTTTGACTGGCCTATATTTCGTGTTTTAGTTTTATTGGCTTAATTATGTCCATTTAACTACTTTGAGCAACATGTCTGTGCAGATGAAACAATAATTATGACACTTGCTTAGTTTAGTATTCTTGGTTTTCATACAGTTCAGTTTAGCCGTAAGAATCATGGTATACTTAAGTATAGTGCTTGAAGCCAGTAACGCAACCGATCAGTTTAGTAAGTAGAGCTGCCTGTTTCTAATAAGTATACTGATTGAAATTATTCCGACTGAAAATAGGAAAAAATGCCTCTGGCACTGTTGCTGTCATACATTATAAGATAGCCTTAAGTATGTTTGGTGTTTATTTCTAGACTGTACATCTATCACTGACCATATTTCATGATCACTGCCATTAAACAATTTCCCCAGCAATAACATCGGTAGCAAGATAGCTAAGTGTCTGAGCTTTTAGTTGCCCGCAAAACAGCAGTATACAGTCCTAGAAGATGAGTGTTCTGTGTCTCAATTAAATGCAGCTGGCTTTGGACAAATGTTAAGAATCTTTTTGACAACTGGGACTTTTAGTTTATCATACACTTACTCTGCTTGTATATTTTCCTGTTAAACTAAACTCAGATGCATGGGAATACTTAAATGGGAGCAAAATAATAAAAGCATTGCATACGGTACTGAGCCCATGTTATGCTTTGCACAAGTAATAGTAGCTGACCTGATCTAATATTCATGAACTCAAGGTAAATCACAACTGCATAAATTCTTTGCTAAAAAAGCATGTAATTTGGTCATTTATCTATTCCACATTTCTGACTAAATTCATTACTATTTTTTCATTTACAATGCAACAGGAGTGAGCCTTCGCAGATCCTAAGAACTGTTTCGCCCCCAGAACTATGGACCTGTAGTGACTCACATTTATCACGAGAACACGACTGGTTTAATAAAAACAATTATTATTATAACCAACTGTACCAGAGTTTGTTTTAATGTGCTTTTGTTTGACTGTGCTAATGACAGCTATATTGTGCTTCCATTCTTATTCACACACTTTAATTGTGACTTCACGCGAATTCGGTTACGTTCTGTAACCAAGCTTGTATCCTGGCACGATCTCGGTATCCTTTCGATGCCACGAAATCGCCAGCGAATATATCTCGATTTGGTCCATTAATTGCCTTCTGATATTTGGCTTCTCGGGGATTTTATGGATTTATTTGGTTACGTTCAACCTTCGCCTTCTGATTTACTTGGCACGTGTATTTTTGGTAGCGGTGTTCATAGTTAATCCCAACTCGACACCACTCTACAATTGGTGACCCAAATTCTGGGACACGCCTCAACCTCTGGTCAAATCTTCAAAAGAAGCCGATCCGGTGAGTCTATAGTTAATCTATCCACGTCTGTCGTATATTTTCATATTACCTCTCAATATATAATATACGCGACATGACGGATAACGATAAGAATAGTATTAATATAATAGACTCCCATGTACGTGTACCGAATCCTTGTCACTTTTTATTCGCGTGACGATAAATTCCACGCTTTATTCTAGAAATTTTCCCCTATTAACTATTCTCCTCGCTGACCCGGCTTCTTGGTACGGAATGCATACGCATACACATTACCGTCTACCTCCCAGCATCAAATGGTTAAGTTGAACGGTTTTATTGCCAACTTAAAAGTGCTCTACGAGCACACGAAAACGACAACTGGTACGAACGAGCTTGAAGGCAGATATACAATGTTTCGCCGCTGAACTTGTATACGGCACGACATTGCGTCTG